TGAGCTGACATCCTCTTAGATCTATTAATATAGGAGTAGTGAATCTCAAAGGTTTATTTTTATTTTTATTTTAAAGTAAGTTACAGGCATATGAAAATGTTAGATTGCTTTTAAATTTTAAAATAGGTATTTTAAAATAATGTAGGTCATTTATAGATTATTCTCATTACTACAGGTACCGTTTATTTTGTGTCGGTTAAAATATATTTTTCTGTGAAAAAAAGACGATAGCGTTCTACGTAATTTTACAAACCGATAGGCGACAACCTGTAAATAGGTACTAGTCACTAGATTACTGACTACCACGAATTCACATATTAATATTGTGGTATATTTGGACATCCCCCCTCCCTGAGGATTTTAGAGGCATAAAACGTTTCCCCCCTGAATCAATATATATTTTTATAAACATCATAATAGATTAGGAAATATTTTCTTTGTTTTTACCCGAAATAGGAATATGATCTTCTATCGACTATCAATCATTCACGTCATAGATTTATTACCCAATTTTATGGGTAAGGATTGATAAACCAAAGTTATGTAAAAATATTATTGAATCGTATTTAATATTTATACATTAATCTAACAATTTGTATAATTATTGAATGAAAAATCTCCTAAACAGTACATTTAATTATTTGTATATTGTTTAGTATTTAGAATTTTGCATCGACAATAGTGTTATAACCAGGGCAAGATAATCAAAAATCAGTATCGGGATACTAGATCCTTGAATTTAGAGTATCGAAATCTTAGATAGTAGATACCCGCTCGAAATTAAATTAGTCACAGGTTTTCTTAAAATTTTTATTTATACACAATAAGGTATAGGTACTGTATACATAAATTAGTTAATACCTATAGACCACATATTCAATAACTTAATAATAATATTCTACAACATAATTAATTATTCATGTACATAATCATTTATTAGATAGTCATAAACTATGTAGGCAATAAGTAATAACTTAATTATTAAACTAGTATTATGTATTATATTGTATTGATAAAAACCTTAAATATTGATTCTTTTAATACTATATAATATAGTCTATAATACTACTAATTATTAAACTAATAATTATTTGGTAGTTGCACTAGTAGGTAGTTGATATTGAATTATATTTATATTTTATACCGATAATTTTAGTAGGTTATATAATATATAGGTATATGTTATAAAAATTATACAATTTATACAAAATTTTTTTTTTTTGATTCTTAAAAATTAAAATGCATTTGCCTTTTATTGTTAAATATGCTCCAGTTGAGGTATATTTATCTTGTTATGTAATATTAATTGCAATATACGTGCTAGCTAGTCAGTGTTTCGATTATTGCTTTTAAAAAGACAAAAATATTTGGATGGTAATAATTCAATCATATTTGATATGAAAATATATTATAACATTTATAACCACCAATTAATCAGTAACCAATTGATCAATATATACGTTTTTAATTTTCAATCATTTTAGTGTGTAGACTGTGTACATTGATGTTGATGGGATTAGATAGAACAACAATATTTTCATATCGAAAGGTAGCCGGTTAGGAAATTTGAAATTTGAATACAAGCGCAATATTGGTATATTGACAGTAAATTATAAGGAGTGGGTTATTACTTATTAATGTATTGCAACAAAATAAACAAATACAAATAAAATAATTTTAAAAAACAATCAGTATAAAACTTTAAACCGTTGTAAACGATTTTGCGACGGCGGCAGCTAGATGGCGCAGTCAGATTGATTTTTTGTTTCTGTATAATTTGTATTTTATATTCGACTATTTTGGTAAATTCATCTCAAGTACTCACTACTCAAGTTACTCACTCAGTATTATTTAAATTTCTGAATCAACCTACGTAAGGCTGTACGCTGTACAGAGACTTATTTTCATACAATCATTACTATAATGTCCATGGAATTAAAAACATTTTGTTTCAATTTTTGGTTTTTGATGTATATAATACATTACACGCGACGCGTCACGCCAACATGTAATTTATAATGGGACTCGTCCCGTTTATGAATTATTGATTATGGTACGGCGGTGTCGTCGTTTGTGGAAAACACGGTCTTAGACGTGTGAGGGCTTTTAAGGGTTAAAGCCTAAGAGGCATTAACACGATCAATTATTATTGTCAAAAATAATTATTCATCAAAAAATATCAAAATGGTTTCGATATTTTCAATTTCAATAATTGAACACACCTTTAATACCTCTATTACGGTCAACAATACTACATTGATATATCTTAGTTCATAGTTTACTGTCCTAGTCTCCTAGTACATGTTTTGGATCTGAAGGGCGAAGCTGATCGCGCTGAAACACTGGAAATTGGAAAAGCTGGATATTTAATTACTAATTACTAATTTGGTATCTATTTTTTTTATAGTGCATTGTGGGTATCACGTTATCGTTGATAACTGATGTTTCCAAGGAGATTATTTGTGCGGTTTTATACCGTGGTCTGGTTTCTCCTACCACTATTTACTGTTTACCGTCGCACAATCAGTCGTAGTCAGTGTATTCCTGGAGTGTGGACGGGGGACGGGTGGATGACGCTCAGCACAGGCGCACAACACAAACAACACACTCACACATGCATACACCACGAGACATCCACACGGGAGAGACGGCGTGTGAAACCGCGTAAATGCGTATTATTTAATAATCTCATTGGCTGATGTTTTATTTTTGCGACAACTGGCATTATTGAGTGTTAATTAATAGTAAAAGCCGAGTACTGTTTGTGCGCCGTCGTTCCACACATTTCGTCCGACGAACAAATGCGGTCAAGACCCGTTAGCCGTATTCGACGAAGAAGGTAAATATCCATGGTCATAATAAATAATACCTATATACCTACCTAGTATCTATGTGTAATAATAAAGCGTAACTTATGTCATGACTTTGTCGTAATATGATAATAGTAATAATACCGCGTACACATCTAGTCTTAAACTAAGCGCGTCCTACGCGCAATGTGTACTTGTCTATGACCGCGTCGTCAAGGCTCGGAGACGGAAGTATAAACAAAATTCGACCCACGTCCGTAGTCTCATTTTTGGGGCTGGGAGATGGAAATAATACTGTCGAAACCGTTTCTCAGTGCACATAGGCAAATAAAATACGTATCGTTGTATTGGTTAATGAGAGCGCTTCCCACTGAAGGTGACTGGCCCTTTGTCGTCATTACGTTTTTCCCGGCAAAAGAGCGATGGGATGACTCACGCATACGGCGATCGCGTGCCCGCTACCTGTGCCTCGTCGGGTGAATCACCGATACCGGTGTCCTGCTGCAGTGTCCATCACCATTTCACCACTCATCAGTACAGTTACATCCGTCCGGTAGTCGAGTTTCGTGTGTTTCCGCCAATTTTCTTGTTGTTTCCGCGACCCCCCAACACCCTTGCCCTGCTGAATGTTCGACGTATTCACGCCATGGCCGTTTTCAGATCGTAAGTTTTTGTGGAAGTTTTTACTTTTTGTTAGATTCTTATCCATTGACTGTTTTCCGACGGTGGTTGTTGGTTCTGTGTGTTGCTCGACATTTGATTTTTTGTCCAGAATCCTTGGGATGCACATTTAAATTTTAATAGCAACCTGTTCATTTGTAAATAGTATTATCTATTTTTTTGATTAGTAATAATTGTCAGTGATGGCAAATAGGTATCGTGCCTGTCTATCAAGTTTTTCAAATCAAGACATAAAACATCGATTTTGTTCATCATCCTATTTTTTATTAGGATCGATTTGAACTAAACTGATTCCATTTCCTAAAACACTGTTTAAGCAGCGTAGTAACAATGTAGCATGCCAGTTAAACAGATAATTATTGCTAGGTATGTATTTTAGTCTAATCTTTGGTTCTGTGTGGTATTTATTTACACTCCTGGATTCTCTTGAATAGCCATGTGTTAACTGTTTATGTCAATTTAAACTTATATTATGGTTTTTATAGTATGGTAATCATACTGTCCTATTTTTATTGTATATTTGTAATAATACCTATATAATAATATCATACTTTTACTGATAGAATATTTTATATTTCCTCATAACTGTATTTAAATAAGTAATTAATGTCAAATTTAATCTCTGGTTTTGTAATTAATTACTAATATATATGGTATCAATTATTTATAGTTTATAACCATGTAGTCATTAGACACACATGGCAGTGATAAATAATTCAATCTTTATCCCCCCACTCTCTACATGTCTCTCACTATGTCTATACTATTCTTACTACAAAATATAATATCAATGGATTCTATACTATCATTCTAAATGGTAGAATATGCATGATTAACATTAAACAGTAATGAACTAATGAGTCAATAACCTCTTCCTTCCTTCCACTAAACAAAATTCTATGATAGTATTTCCATAAGTAGGTATTTAATTATATAGAATATATTGGCATTTTATGTGAACATTTATAATAGATATCACCAAGAAAATATTTGTTCTTCCTACCATTTTACATGTGTCCTTATACTTAACTAAATCCAATTTTTACAAATAAAAAATATGATTTAAGGTGTAAAAATGTATCTACCTAATATTCTTAATAATAAATTGATAGAACAATAATTGAAACAAATAATTAAATACCAGGAATATTGAATTATAAATGCCAACTGTTTTGATGATTACCTATAAAGAAATTTAATCATTAAATATAGTATTAATTAAAGACTTAAACAGTAATTAATTAATAATTAAATTTAAAATATAATTGTATGGTTTTTCTAATAACAAAATGTATAACAATAATTTTTAATTTTTGGAATTTATGTTACCTCTGATAATAATCGGATGTCGATGAACTTATCTATATATTATTTTAAACTCTTATATGTTTTTATCTCAAATGGTAAATAATATAGGTGTATTTGTCTTATATTTTATTTTAAAATAGGAAATTAGGAAATTAATCTAAAATTAAAACTATTTTATGTGTTGTATTTCATGTTAGAGAGATGGCCATAACTATAAAGAGTATAACCATCATTATGTGCATATACATTTTGGGGGGGAGATAAATATGCTGTCTTATTCTATATTAAATGACTTCACAGGATAAACTCTCACACTTCGTTAAAATTAATTTGATTTTGATGATTTTTTTTATTCGAAAAATGAGAAATTTTTGCAGGTTAAACCAAAGCCTAAATTTTCATATTACTGTAAATACTGTTTCATAGAAGACATACCTACCTATTGTGCATTATTCAAATGTGTACTTTAGTTTCAATAATTATAATTTTGAAAATCTTGACAGTAAACATTCAGATTATATAGTAGCTTCTTTCTTGCACTGGTATGAATGTATGATAAAGAATGTTAAAGAAATCTGTAATCAGGATTCAGTATTGTAGCAAACTGATAGGATTTCTCAATGATTCAATAATTCTATAAATATAATGTAATAATAAAACTTAATAGAATGAAAACAATGTTAATAATAATGTTATTTTTTTTAGCCAGGATGAGTTGTGATTAAATGAGATTTAATAAATGATTTTGAATACATGTTCTACATTTATATACAGAACTCAGTCTTTACTTTCACTAGATGTATTTTATGTACTTATAACACAGTATCTATCATATGGTATTAAAGTATATTTTGAGTACCTACCTGTTGTTTGATTTTATTGTTGATGTTGAAATTTTAATTTGAAGTGAAATCCAATTAATATATACGTATTATATTCCAAAAGACTAAATTAATGTATTTTTATAATTCTCAGTGTTCATTTAACATTTTGATTGAAATGAAGTAAAAAAGAATTTTTTTTTATTTCAGTGGATGTATTCAGTGTTAAAAAAAATCATAAAATGAATAATTTAACTGTTGAATCTGAAATTAAGTTAAAACCAGATCTTAAGAAACTATCATTAGAAGAACTTCGTAAATTAAAAGAAAAAATTGGAAATGAAGTTTACCAAAATTCAACTACTAAAAAACCAAAATTCGATTTTCCTAATAAACGGGTTAAACGAGAAAACAAAAACAGACCATCTGAAATATCATCTAAAGTGGACCCTTCTTTGAATTTTGTCAAGAAGTTGAAACCTAAAATTAAAACCAAAGTTGAAGAAACTAAAAGTATTGATCCTAGATTTGATTCATTATATGGTGAATTTGATAAACGTGTTTTTGAACGAAATTACAAATTTTTAAATGATGTCAAAGAAAAAGAAAAAAAAAAGCTACAGAAGAAGTTGAAACAGAAGAGTTATGATGAAAAGAATGAGCAGGTTAAATTATTATTACAAAGAATAGAAAATCAAGATAGAGAAAAACAAAAGATGGAAGCTCAAGAAAAATTAAAATTGGAACAGAAACAAAAGAGATTAGATGCCATTAAAGATGGTAAAAAACCTCAATTTTTAAGGAAACGTGAATCAAAAATATTGCAATTGGTTGGACAGTATGAAGATTTGAAATCTCAAGGAAAACTCACCAAGCATATTAAACAGAAGAGGATTCGAATTATTGGGAATGAAAAGAAAACAATGTTCAATGATTCAATGGAATAATAATATTTAATTATCATTATTGATTCATAATATTTTTTGTTAATTTTTTACATTTAAATATTTCATTGAGTAATATAATAATATTGTATTGTCTTCTATACATTTTACTTTTTTTCTTTTAAATTTTGAATGGTTGATGGGTTTATTTGATAGCCAATTTATACTCAAAACAGTTAAAACTTTAACAGTGTACCAACCTTAATAATTTGTAACAAATAAATAAATATTTAGAGGAATTAATTTTAGTTTTCTTTTATTAAATATGCATTGAATAAAATATTTCAACATGTGTTTTTATAGCCACCTGAGCTCAAATTATTTTCCGCGTTCTATTGGTTTTTGTGTATTTCTAACAACTGGTAGGTTTACGAATATGATTAATCCTCGTTTGGCAGGTATATCCTCAACAAAGAAAATTGATTTCGTAATATTTTTATGACGCGTAATTCGACCGACGCATTACTAACCGTTGCTAATCGTTCTAGGTAGGTACAGTAGTCAGTTATGATACCTAGGTAAATATAATCGCTATGACGCTATGTCGAACAATTGCTTTCAGGTTAGATGACAATAATAATTACAACTTATTGCAATCATGACGGTGTTCGTCTTTGATGTTTAATACTTATAAATTATAATATTCAATATTGTGGTAATTTATTTTTACGCTCTGTTGACCGATGATGAAAACTTTCGATGAGAACTAAAAAAACTTTAGTAGAAACCTTGCACATCCGGTGGTTGTGCAGCCCTTTGTAATCTTGACACGTGTTTAAAAGATTTAAGCACGAGTTGTAAGGCCGGAGGGACATAGTGAAAAACGATGGACGACGTGTGTGCGTGTGTCGTGTACGCGGTGTACTCGGGGAGGGCACTGCGTGGAACTCTCCGCCGTGTCGCAGTAATCATTCGCAACTCGCACACACTTTTTGTCTCTTGACGTTAGGTCGGTGGTGGCGGGTACGATTTATTTTATTTATCTTTATCGTCGTTCGCCGTCAGGTAGATTCGCACGATTTGGGTGGACAAAATCGATCGTACTCGCTTTAAAACCTTCGTAGTCGTCTTTTTCGATGTGTGTGTGTGTGTGTGCGTGTGTGTGTTACTACGGCGTCGGCAGCGACCGAGTTACGCGTAGTAGTCCCACGTGTGTGACGCAGCGCACGACAGCACATTATCGCGTTTGACGTTTTTCACGCTCATTTTTTTTTTCATCCAATTGCCTTCCACCGGAATGGTTTCGCCCGGTGATTATTTCTTTAGTAATCTGAGGTCACGTGCGTTTCGTCGCGTTTGTTTATCTGGAAAACGTTTTTTTTTTCGTTTTAGAACAATATAATAAATTCAGATTAGAGATAAATAATAATTTAATATACCACTACTATTATTTAATACGCGCATAATGGTACAGCAGCAACTGCGGCAATGGGGCAGAGCTCTGCCGCACCATTGTGTTGTTTATATTATTATTACATGTATATAGTGTGACCCGTGTGTTCGATATTTTTTCTCCTTGTATATTATATTATGTGCGTTTTAATTTAATGGGTTTTTATCTCCGACAACAGCCTCTGGGGTTCCCCGCCACACCCGCTCCAGCTACTTCACGACGACGCCGTGCACCTGTGTCTGGCTGGCTCGCTCGTTCACTTGCTCACGGGCACACGCACGCACGATAATATTATTATTATATATAGTGTTTGTTGTTGTCGTTCGTCGTATTAAAAGTAGTAGTATAGTAGTAGTTGCGTAAAACGAATACGATATTTCGTCATCACTTGGGGATCACATGTGGTCGTGTGCCGCCGACTCCAATCCTTGCAGTAGTAAACGTGTGTTTTAACTGCCTTCCTGTCCTTGGTGCTTTAATAGTATTAATATCATTATCGATTTGGAAAATGAAAAAAATGTTCTCTGCCACTGGCTTGTTAAATAAAATAACCCATATTATTAAGTATGCGTAACAGTCGTCAAATACGTGTCGTTATAAATTATAATGTACAGATATATATTTGATAACTAAAATCGTTATTTCGAGGCAGATAGCATCCATCAACTGTCGCACATGTCCGCTCCCAAGTTCGTATAATTATTTTTGTATGTGCGTGCACACGTTACTTTGTCATTAGTCATTACTATTCAACATAATATAGCTGGGGACTTAAGGTTCTCCTAATCCCTTTATGAGAGTGTAAGGAGGCGACGATTTTTGTCGAACATCGAAATCCGCATTTGCGTCTTGGTAAAACAAAATATAATAATGATGGCGTTGTGGGCACAAATAGAATCTTGCCGCCGGTGACGACGGATTTGTCCTCTTGGCTCTTGGTGCGTCTGGGAACCACTTGTGATGCGTCCTGCAACTCGCGCGTTGGCTCCGGACAAACACCGCACCTCTGCCCGCGACGTTACTGTTTTTAACCCTCCTCTCCCACCACTGATCATCGTTTTTAATATTTTTATCGTGTCCTTTTACACTCCAATGGACAACTACTGGTTTAAATGTTTAGTCTTCAGTGTTTGGTTGTGGTTGGTTGTGACTTGTTGGGTCGCGTTATTTTATCCCTCTGTAGTTCAACAATGACGTCGTTGCTGTTTTTTTCTTTAGTTACCGTCAACAAGAGTATAATCTTAATACACGATACATAATATTTTAAAGTTTTTCAATTTTAATGAGAAACAATTAACTTCCCGTTTGAATTTGTAATATTTGGGTCAGTTGTGTGTTTATTACTTATTTCTAATTGACTAAATACATTTATTAGTCATTACATCTAGTTGTGTGTGGTTTAAGTGTTAATATTTAGACCAATATTAAAATCATTACCAATGTAGTAATACTTATCAATTATCATTGATAATAAATTGCTGACTGGTGTCTTAGTGTCTCGCTATTTAATGTAATGATTATTCTTTGATAACTTAAAAGTAACTATGCAAATGTAAAATATAATATGTTCACCTATTTAGTAGGTACCTATATAATATATTTTAAAGTAGGTAATTGGCATGTATATAATAATGACATAATGTTATGTCATTTTTTACATGTTAAAGCTCTTGTTATTATAAATTTAGTAAATTGTCCTTCATTGGTGTATAATATCTAGATTATGTTGTATAGTAATGACTAAATAAAGAAATAAATTGATACACAATTTTATTTTATAAATTGTAGAATTTATATTTCTCTTTAAGTTATTTATAGAAAAAATGTTGTATGTTGTCATAATAGTGATTATATTTTTTTTTTTATGGCAAGCATCTTACACAGTTATTAGTTTCTCGAAGTGAATTTATTTAAAATAATTTAATTGTAGGCTTCCAGGTGTGCACATTTAATTATTAACATAAATTACAAATTAATCTATGTTATTATTAAAAAAATATTATTGACTTAAAGAAGTCAATAATAACTTATGCCAAATTATTTTGATTTATTTAGGTCATTATGGAATCTCCACAAGAAGAGAATGTATCATTAGACTTTGGTTCAACAACCAAGGAAGAAGAGTATCTTTTGTCTGTATCAACTGGTTTTTATGAAGAAGAATTTGACGACGACGACGAAGTGTTTTTGGATGATTCACAAAGTATTGATATGGAATCATCATCAGAAATTCCATCACGTGTTCGTAGAACTTCAGATGTTATCGACTGTGTTGGTGGAACTATGTCTCCTGCACATATTAAACGTCATAGTTTCCCATCAGCATCTGGAGAATTCTTATATTCTGCTACATCTCAGGCTACAAACATCACAGAATTAAATAGATCTAGACGTGCTGAGCTTACCATAGAATCACTTGATCAAGGCTATAGTAGCCCTGGTGCACAGTCTTCTTCAGGTAGGTCTTTTAAAGGAACGTGGTTCAGGTTTAGTAACAGTAATGACCCTGATTCTGTTGATGCCCGACCAACTCAAAAATCTGATGAACAACAAAATCCAAATCCAACATCCAATCCGAACAGGTAACAAGTAAAAATTGTAATCAAAACTAATCTATTTGTGAATTTGGTTTTATTTTGATAATATTTTATAGCAAATTAAGTCCTGGCTTTAAAAAATCAGGTGAATTTCGAAGTGAAACTATTGTAATGCCTGTTACTAAAGACGCTACATGTTATAATATGGATCATGAATATCGAGGTATCGCTGTTATTATAAATAATGATGTTTTTGATGCTCAGGCCTTACCTGAACGGAAAGGTTCATGGAAAGATGTTGAAGAGTTGGAAAAAATGTTCTATCGTTTGGATTTTAGTGTTGTGGTTTGGAATAACTTGTATCACGAAGAATTGACTCATCATTTGCACAAATGTATGTATTAGACTATTTTACTTAAATATTTATTCTTACTATTTTTGTACTACGTTTTTCAGTGGCTAATGATGATCATTCGCAAAATGATTGTCTCGCTATCGTTGTGTTGACACATGGGGTCAGTTCATCATTTATTTATGCCAGAGACAATCCATACCCAGTTGAATTTTTGTGGAATTCGTTTACTGCTGATAAATGTCTTACACTAGCTGGAAAACCAAAACTATTTTTCGTGCAGGTAATTGTGTAATGTGTAGGTTTTATAATCAGATGGCATTTGTGTATTCAAAGCTTGTTCTTGTTTTTTGTTTCAGGCATGTCGCGGAGAAAGGCTAGATCCTGGTATTACACTGAGAATTGAACCGACAAAAACTGAAGTAGATTGTTCTACTGCCTCATACAAAATTCCTAAACATGCAGATTTCTTGATAACTTTCAGCACTTACGATGGTAAATTTCAACATTTGGAGTATCATTATTTTGTGTTTGAACGATAACTGAAGAGAATTTTTTTTAAGGTTATTATTCGTTCAGGCATCCTGAGAATGGCACATGGTTTATCCAGAGTCTCTGTATTGAAATGAACAAACATGATCTTAGCAACAGTGACTTGTTGGGAATTATGACTCGTGTGTCCAGACGAGTTGCGTTAGAGCATGAATCTTACAATCCAGATCACCCATGGCTACACAAGCAAAAGCAGATACCAACCATTCACTCGATGCTCATTAGAGATATTTTTTTTAAGCCTAAAAACAAACCTCCATCTGAACCAGTTGTATTAAAAAATCGTAAGTTTTGATGTTTCATATGATCTAACAAATAGTATATGAAATGCAAAATACATTTGTGTACTTTTCACGCTATGTTTTAAGTACAAGAAACTTTTTGCTAAATAAATTTCTTTGTTATCCAAAGACTAACCCATTATGTGAGTTAAGTCTATTTCACCTTAGATACACTACTTAGTAAATTAATAAAATAATTAATGAATTAAATTTTTTTCATGGTTGTGTATGCAAAATACATTTGTGTACTTCTTTTTTACCATGTTTGAAGTACAAGAAACTTTTTGCTATATAAATTTCTTTGTTATCCAAAGACTACCCCATTATGTGAGTTAAGTCTATTTCACTTTAGATACATTTAGTAAATAAATAGGTATATTTGTATACAAATTATTTATATTTATTATTATCTAAAATATAAATTCTTATTTACTGTATTCTTTTAGTAGGTATATTTTACATTTGTTTCCATTCAAAACAATTGATACATTTTTTTTGTAGTGTAGTTAGATTACTATATTAAAACTATATATTTTTTTTAAAACATACAAATTGAAAGACGATTGACATTTTTGCTAAATAAATACTTCTTTTGTTCTCCAAATATTTTATGATATTGGGATACCCTGACTGGTGTAAACTTGGAAATAAATAAGTCACATATAGGCCCAACTTAAGTCGAATGTTGAACATTTTAAAGCTTATTAATCAATTAATTAATTTTAAATTGTCTGGTTTTTTCTCAAACCTGGCAACCTAACTTACTACGCGAAGCCCGATGTTTGATTATTGTCAATATATATATATATTACACACTTGACTAAAGCTATAAGATTTAATGATCGTAGTATTAAATATTATATTTAAATAAATGTATTATTTTATAAAATTCTTATGTATATTTGTTTTTTACAGTCATTATCTGAGTGCAGAGTGCCTTAAAATTATATACGAAGCCAGAAAATGCAAACTAACCATAAAAACAAAATCTACAGCAACTAATGAGTGTGCACAGTAATGTATTTTACCAGTGTGAAATTATAGTTTAATAGGTTTGTGCCCACATACGTGTTCAAAATTAAAATTATAAGAATTCTAAATTTTGTGATAAAAAATGTCTTTTTAAGACTGAATGAATTTTAACTTAAAATTAATTTTTGAGAAAAAAATATTGATCTTCATAATTCCCGGTATTGTTTTGTTTGTTAAACTGTTGTTCATCAATGATAATTAACATATTCTTCATTTAGCTTTAATACTATCAATAATTTAACTATTTATAAATCCATGCAATTTATTTAAATTGATTTTAAAATTATATCTGATCTACATTATGATTTTCTTTATTATGTATTATTTATTTCTGATTGAAATATTTCCAAATTTTAACCGACAAATAATTAACTTTTATTTAAAATTATCTTTGTTGCAAATTCGAACAAAAATCATACTTAAATTATTTACTTATTATTTAGACCAAGAGTTATTTGCTCATTTTATTAATTACAATTTTTTTTTTAAGTTTAAAGTATTTTAGACATTTTTAATTATTACTGTTAATCAGGCATTAAGACTGCCCATTATGTACGTCTTTCATAAATTAAATGTTAAATATTATGTTTTTTTTTTACAATATATAAAATAAGTGAAAAGTGATATTGTCGCATTTAGTATATATTTAAAAGAAATATTTAGTAACAATTTTTTTTTTTCTATAATATAATATGCAATTTTTTGCATTTTGTTGCTTTTGAGTTTAGCACGTTTATTATAATTCTCATTTTTAGTTACATGTTATACTGCCTATAGTATTTTTCTCTTTTCCTTTTGTTATTATAATTTTTTTATTTGGAGGACAATGGACATTATATTAATTATTTCTCATGTACCATTGTTGCATTTTCTCTGATGATATGCTATTTTAGTATTTTACTATCCAAAATGAAAATTGTAAATCTAATTTTTTTTATATTTATACATAAATAGATACGTATAAATTTGATCTTGGGAACTGAATAATGTTGTACTTGCTTTATAATTAAACTAGTACTTTGTTTTGTGATTTATTGATCTCTCCCATCTAGTTCAAATATATAATTATAAATTTTATTTTTACTACTCATTATATAATTTATCACATAAGCGATTAAAAGACAAAATGAATTTGTCATCAAATTAAATTAAACTACATACTACAACAAACCGTTATCATTTTAATTTAAAACCCATAAACATGTATTTTCATTTATTTTAAGTTCGCATATTATATTAATTATCTATTTATTTATACGTTTATGTATAAATGGTCCGTGTAATAATGATTTTTGTTGTAAGAATTAATGTGTACTTTCAGAAATGTCTGATTTTGTGTACATTTTTTAGCCATCAAATAATCATAAAGACTCAATTTAAATTATTTTTTTATGTGCTCATATTTTTTCATACTATTATAAGTATTTTATTTTGTATATAATAAGAAAAATGTAATAAATTTTATTTTTTCACCAGTTATTGACATTATCAAGTATATTATCATAAATGTATAATATGCTTGATCTAAGTTTTTAGTATTCTATTTTTATTAGACAATAGTGACAATTTTTTACTGTATTGCCATAATTCAAAATTATGGTTTTAAAGAATGTGTTCATATTTAGTATTACATTAATGCATTTTTTATTTTATTCACGTGTTTATTAAATAATTTGGAAAAATTATAGTTTGTACTTTTGTTAACCTTTCAAAAATGAAATATAACTTGATATGAACAGCTATTGTGGGGTCATTAAAACGACCCTAACATAAGATATTATGTAATTACACAATTTATAAAAATTTTAATTTAACAATAAAAGACCAGTAAAACCTATAAAATTATAGCTTAAACTTTCTGATATGTTTTATGTTTTAACTAAAAATGTAATACTTATTCTATTTATAAAAATATTTCCTTTATCTGATGATGGTATCCCTTTACCCTTCTATCACGTTTGATCACTGGCATTGGGCAAGTGTGTATATTGCATCATTGCTTCCCATTTTATTCAAAAAGTGTTATGTGTAGTATGGTTATGACAACAACAATGTTTTAAGTATCAAGGAATGCAATTGGTAATAATTCATAGTCACTAAGGCTTCTGACAGGATAAATAAGAATATTATGTGAACTTGTTTTGATTCTTGATAATTTCTGACTTGGCGGCTGGCACAGTTTTTATAAATGTTAGCAGTTGGTAAGAAAAATAAGCCAAGATACTATTATTTATGGTATTTTTCAAGTTTAAAATTAATTTAGTCTTATCTTAGAAACGGTATGAAGTAAGTTAATATTTTATACTTTTTCAGTTAAACATATTTTTTACTTAGGCATAACTTTAAATTTAATAGTGTATGGTGTGGAAGCAATTAAAAATTAAAGAAAAACAATTGAAATAAAGAAATAAAGCTCTGCAAATCACAATAAATTACTGACAGGTGCCTACTACTTTCATCGATTGATTTATATCAATTAAATCAAATATTTTTTTTCTTAAAATTCTTTGTTAGATATGTCATCAGTTTCACTTAGAAGTGATAAATATTATTTATGATTTATTTAAATATTATTCATCATGATATAAAAACAGAGAGAAGAGGCATCCCATCAAAGGTACTTCAACATGGTTTTTAATTAATAAAATAATGATACTAATAAGGAATAACTAATAATAATTGTACAATAAATAAATAGTAATCATAAAGTAGGTAATAACAATAGTCATAGTGATATACAATTTTTTTATCTATATAATATATTAAGTAAGCATGTCAGCACACCACCGTTCTTTTAGACTTTTGAGGATTTCCTGGAATTGTTGCAGATTATAGTTGGATCACAGTTATTCTGTGGTTGGGTTATTAACGATAAGGGGATGAGATGGTGAATTAGTTTGCTATTGAGTCGCTAATAGAAGTGTTTTGCTAATTGAGTGACAGTAAGTATTTTGATATGAGAGTGAATTGTATTATTGGAAACGTAGAATGGAGCTTGTGATACAACGCGAAAGACTGGTTTGAAATCTTCGTATGTGGTATTGTGGTTAGTGTTAGAAATTTTGGCTGAGCCAGTGAGCCCCAAGCTTTATGCCGTATGTTCAAATGGGTCTAAGCAGTAGTTTATTAGGTAGTGATAAAAATAAATGTTATACAATTTTTTTAATTGTATTCATCACAGACACAACAGATACATTAAAAATTTTGTTATAACAAATTATAAGTAGTATTAAAAATCTTTTAAATTGTACTTAAATTACGAAGAAAAAAAATAAAACTATCACATTAATAATTTCTTTTTGATGTTTGTGATACTTGACATCTCTTTTCTGCCACTAATTTTTCTATTTCGGGAGAAAATTTATTAGATGAAGCCACTTTTAACACGGAATTGAGATGAGTATCAGTTAATCTGGATATAACAGGAGATTTATTGTTGTTCATTAATGAAAATAGTTGCTCAAATTGATATGTACTACTAAACATAGAAATAATTTTACACCCAAATCTAAGAGTTTCTACATATTGTGCTGGCACATACTGGTAAAAATCAGGTATACCTACCTCATTGAATTTGGTTTTTTTTTAATTCAGAGCAACAGAAGGTAAAGCAAATTCCAAATCGGTACTCTAATTATAATTTAATATACATTTTTATTAAAATTTATTAGAGTACTTAGTTATAGTATTTATAGAGACTTAGCGAGTCGGCCGTATTTGCTGGTCATTTATAAATACTATAAGGATTTTCTATGGCAATATATTTGACGTATTCAATTTTGATTTAGAACAAGGTTTTTTTACCCCCTCAAGTTCAGGACATCTGGATAAATATTAGCCCTACGGCCCGCAAAGATGTAATCCTAAATATGCCACTCCAGACAATGATTTAAGATGTCATCTAATTAGGTATCTACATCTTTAATCATGCTCCAAACGAGATGCAAAAAAAAAAAAATTCAAAAACATGGTTCCGGTAAAGTGCATAATATTCTGTTACAAGTCTCCCAGGTGGTTAGGTTTCAAGTGTTTCGACCAAAGACTTCTATTTAATACTAGATAAGGTACTCCATTTGACAACGATTGCAAAATATAAAACATTGCTGCAGCTGATCATTTTTAAAATCATTTGGGCAACCCCGTGTGACACCTTACCATATAGTGGTATTGGTCGAGATAGCAGAGTGATATGTGGAATCATCATAATCGATGTGTTTTATTATTAAAAAAACTATAGAATACTAGTCTTTAATTATGGTCTTTGGAGGGTTCCATCGCTGGATGACTTTTCCTCATCTTGCAGTGCTTCATGACATTATTGTGTTGTTTTATATTATTATGAAAATGTCAATTTTAGTCATCTTTTTTACTTTTTACTTGTTGTGTGAACAAATACAAATTGTACATTTTCCGAATAGAAAAAAAAATTATGGCCTATGGGTTACATTTTGATATGTAGTTCCTAAATAAACAACAAACTAGAGATTATCAATAAAACTTTTTGGAAGAATAAGGTCATATTGTAAGTAAATTTAAGTATCAAAATTAATATATATTTTATTTTGAAACAATAATTTACTCCTTATAGTAAATTAACAATTTAAAAATACATATTTTTGAAAAATAAATAAATTATAAAGGAGATCCAAATATGGGCAAATCAATATTATGAAATAGCTTATATTAACAACTTATGTTATAATACAAAACATAAACAATATCACTATAACTCAGTATGTTAACTGAAATATTGCTTAAATCATATAATTTCTCTTATTTTACCCTGAACTATGTTTAACTACAAAAGTAGAAGAAAAGTGATCGAAAATGAATCATAAAAAAAAAACTTTGGCAACAATAAATTTGAAGTTTACTGTACCTGCAGATGGTTTTATAAAAATGTGTGGAATTTTAACACTTCACTAATAATTATGTTGAAACAGTTTTTTGATCATAAATGCATTATATTTTTACCCATATTTGTTCTTTATTTTCTATATCAATTAAAAATAAATTAAACAAAATTATTAATTGTTAAAAATACATAATATAAAGGGTTGCTGCTTACACTAATAAAAGTAATTACAATAATAATAATAACAACAAAATAAAATGAGCATAATTTTATGGAGTTCAGGAAATATTAGTTTAATCAAATTCAATTATTGGAAATTGAATCTTTGTTATCGAGTAGAAGAGCTACTGCTTGCCTTACACTCATTTCCCACGAGTCGAGTATATGAGACACTGTAAAACGAACTGGCATCAACATCATTCTTGATTCAAACACATCTTTAACACACATGAGAAATGATGTGCCACCATAGTCGTTGGACGAAATTATACAAGCAGGATTTGCAGGGGGATAATTCTCATAAACAACTATGTTAATCGGGGGTACACAGGGCAGATTTTTATCATCCAACCAACACAACAGACGGATACAAGAAACTCCACTTGGACGAACAGGATCTAAAGATACCTAAAATCAAATGTCAGGTTAGAAAATAAACATGCCTTATTTCGACAATGTGTACATTTTTTAGATTGTACTAAAAATGTATATTTTATTTCACCTTAAAACGTTGATCGAGTCTTGCAATTTCACCTTCTAACGCTTTTGGTATGATGCTTTGAACTTCATTGGAATTTTCATTTCCTGAATTCGGTGGTGGTGACCTTTAAAATGCAATCAGTAATTAATCAAATAACCAATAACTTTGTTAAAATTAAGAAATATAACTTACAAAGGTCGTCTTTGGCCCACCATAAATTCTATACAAGGTGCAAATGTCCTGTGGAGTGTATGATTAAAGTTTGGAGACTGTATCATCGATCCAATCACTTCAATTAACGGATGTACCTCTCTCATGGTAGATGATTGTGGTGGAGGCACACTTCCACCTTCTCCCTAACATTAATGATAAGAATAATTATTATAACAACGAAATGTGGAAAAAACTTTTTGAAACAAACAACAAGTAATTACTCTGCTTAAATCTAATCTTTCCAAAGCAATTTCACATTTCAACAAAGTTTCCAGAGGCATCCGTTGGGTGGGAGTTGACAGTATTTCTAGAAGCTTTTTCATCTTGCTTAATTTCTCAACGTCTATAGGTATTAATTATTATGATAAAAACATATTTAAATTAATGACAGCAGTTAATGTAAGGATACAATTATTAAAACATTATTTTACCTTCATTTCCCATATGTGCAATCATTTTTCGTAAAGGTTCAATGTATTTGCTTAGTTGCCTTACTTTTTCTCTATATGCTATGTCTTCCTGAGCCAGAGGACTTGGACCAGCATTAGATGAAGGGTTCATAGGAGTGTTTAAAGATGGAACTGAACTACCTGGCGATGGCACATTACCTAAGAAATTAAATCACACACAGGGTTATAAATAGCACAAGTATTAAGAAACCGTTGTACTGCATTTGTTATCTCAGTCTTACAAGTGCGTAACATAACACATTTTAAGCTCAGCAGATCATGTTTAGCTCCTTAAGTTTAAAAATTAGAGAGAATTGATCTCTTATAAAATTTAAACCTAAGATTATTATCTAGGGCATCACATGGGCTTTTTATTGTATTTTAATTTTAAAGTGAGTTATGAGTATTTTAAAATTTAAAATTGCTTGTACATCTTAAAATACTCATAACTTGCTTTAAAATAAAAATATAATAAAAAGCCCATGAGATGGCTTGATAATAGTTTCAGATTTAAATTTTTTAAGAGGTCAATTCACTAAAATTGTTAAACTAACAGAGCTAAACATGATCTACTGAGCGTAAAATTTTATATGTTCTTGTAAAACGGAGACAACATATGAGGGTATAACATCCTCTTTAAGTTATGTAAATCATTATTGAACATTTTTAACAAGAATATTTAAAATTAATAATTTAATTTATAATAACTATTTTTTTTTAAGTACAAGTTACAATTTAACAATTAGTTATGAATTTTGTTATAATTTGTTTTGATTTATGGTTGCATCGGAAGACCTATAAACTAATGGATAGCACTTAATATACCACCGTTCGTGGGTGGGGGAGATAGAGCAAGAGAAAAAACACTGCAATGTCTCAACGCATGGTTTTTTCTCTCTCGTCCAATTAGTTTTTAAGTATATTCCCAAAGCACTCTCCATTAGTTTAAAGGTCTATGGGTGCATCCATGATATAAACAAATTAATTTTATAATTGTAAAACAAATGCAGTTGGAATAAAAAACAACACAATATTACCTATTAACTATTTTAGTTGTTTAATAATTATTGTTATTATTTTATACATTATTTATTTAGATTAATTAAGATGATCTGACTATAGTGAACATTAACACGTCCAAGTGATTCTTATGGAAATTCAAATATTCTCCAATAATTAGGACACAATAAATTATTTCATATTGCTAACCACGGTTCCAAACTCGCTGAAATGTTTAAAATATACTATGACATACATCAAGGGACCCCCACTATCCTTCCCTTCCCTTTTTTAAATTTAACAACTACATTACAATCAAAGACCAACATAATGAAAATTTTTAGTTATTTATTTTTATGTTTTAGCTGAATAAATATTTAAATACATTTATGATTCTAAACGTATCAATGAATGTATCTATTGATTTAAGATTTTACAATGATGTTTTTTTTTGGTTTGTGTTTAAGATAACATTTTTTACTTTGAGGATTATTTCTGATAGAAAATTGGTTGTAGATTCTGGAAACAATTAAAGTTTATATTTTGAGAGGTAAAATTTGAAAATTCTCAGTATTTTTAAAAAATATCGGAAATGCAAAATTGAATATTTAAATGAAGAATGAAAATTTTAGTTTTTTTGTTGTAAATTACTTAAAAATACCATTAATATAGTAACCAAAAAATCAAAAAAAATGGCTATAATACTGTTGAATATAGCAGTTGTCATATAATAAAAATAATGTAAACATTTTCCATGAATCATATTTATTTATCTTTAAAGTTAAAGTTCTTTATATGCACAATTCAGGATATACAGCCAAATCCCTTCAGTAGCCCTCCCGCCTGGGCTCACCATCTGAAAAATCTTCCATGACATCTGTCATAGATAAATTAGGTGATCAGCAGTCCGGAAGTACTAACAATGGTTTGAAGTAAAGCTAATTTATTTATAAATTAATGATAAGAATAAGTCATTATTGGGTTTAAGTAAATGAAATACGATTGGAAAACTCTAAAGGCACTTAATATTGTCATATTTTTGGATGCTAATTAAGTAATCTGTAGTTTGAATTTATCAGATTTATCTATACTTCAACTACAGACTATTCTACAAGAGAATAATCAGTTTGACTTTTGAAATAATCACAACTGACAGCTTCGAAGCCTAATTTTTTCTCACTAAATGATAGATGTTAGCCGAGATAAAACATTTCCCTTCCTTTATAAGTTCTCGGGAGAACATCAATCTAAGTACTGATAGCATCTTTTTTTTAGATATTAAGCTTAAAAACTAAATTACGATCATCAACATTAGGGTGTACTCAATTTAATTAAAAAATATAATATACAATATACAAATTTACTTGACACATTTTATTTAGATTTTTTTTAAACATGATTATTAAGTGAGTACACTTTCTATGGATTATATTAATATCGTATTGTGCTATGGGGTATTTTACCTGTTTTTAACATTTAATTTATAATGTAGTTCAGTAGTAGAATTATGGGTTATAAAGGATTTGCAATAAATTAATGTAACTTACAAGTTATTCCTTGTTCATTTTATTTGTTCAAATAAATTTACATATTTACTGCTTTAATTTAAATAGACATACCAATTGATCTAATAGGCCCACTCATTTGGCCACCAGGAGTTAGTTGAGGACCACTTGGTGAACCGATCATTTGATTACTAAAATATATAATACCATAAATAGATTTGAATCAAAAATTATTTTAAATATTATCAAAATTATACAAATTAACATTAACTGACTGATGATTTAAAGATTAAAGGTCTCAAGTATAAAAATAATGTTTAATGCTAAAAGTATAACAAAAAAAATCATACTCCATAAAAATGTCTACTACATATTGTTTTAAATGATGTGGAAAATCTGGATTTTGGAATTTTGACTTATGATATACTTTTGTGTAATACTTATGAAACATTCACTATAACTAAACATTATTCTGTAATAAATTAATAAATAAATAATATTTATACAATTAAAAACTAACTAGAAATTTATTTGCATCAAATTCATCAATTAATAATACATCAAATCAATGACGGCATGTGTGTGATTTAAATTCAATTTAAATACTAAAGGATGAAAAATGATACATGAAATGTCAAATGAATAACACAATTCATAAATATCAGAATAATTATCCAGAAATAATAAATAAAATATAATAGTTATTAGTTATTATCAGTTTGTAAAACTAACAGTAAACAGTATACGATTTGAAAAATTTTGGGTATAATAATATTGTTAGTAATAATTATGATAATATTTAATAATAATACATTTTTTAATTTTATAATTTTATAATTGATAAAGGTTGTTTTTCAAAAATGATAAGGTGTTCTCCTGTTTTATTTGGGTGTTATAATATTATCAGTTGCGGAAAATACACGTTCAAATGATGCTGATGAAGCAGGAATGCATAAAATATTTTTTTGCTAAGACCGATATTGTAGGATAAACATTTTCAAGTGCTTTCCACCACAAGCATGGATTCTCGTTGTGATTAATTTGAGGTTCAGACAAATAGCGAGTAAATTCATCTTCATAATCTTTAGGCGACTGCCCTACAAGCTCGTCTAACATAGTCGGTTTTATTATTTGAGTATTGTCGCCTGTAGTTGTCAAAATGTTATTCACAGATAATAGTTTTGAACGAACAATTGACTGAATATGTGATTTTATTTGCTTTGAGGGTTCAAATTTTAAATTTTTGAATCTAGGGTCAAGCAAACTTGCAATTTGCATTACATTCACCGGTATACCATTTGTATGATATTCTAAGGTTCATCTTCCATTGAAAATTGTCTTGCCAAGTCTTTAGAAACTATGCTTTTAAATTCTGTAGCAAGTACACAGTCTGATTGATTTAATCTTAAGTGTTTATTGATGAGATTAGCAATAAATGGTCAAACCTGAAACACAAAAAATAAGTTTTATATGTTCTTACTAGGTATTTAAAAATGCAATTATTTATTATCCAGTTAGTATTTAAGTTAAATTTACTATCGATATTGTGCTTTGCTGTTCAGAACATAGTATTGTCATAGCCAGTTGCAGTGGTTTCAATAATTTGACGAGAACTTCACATTTGTCCCAATCTTCTTCTAACATTTCTAAGTTGTTCTCAATTCTTTTGTTTAAGTATTCCCCATCAATTATTACTGCCACAACAGCCCTGCGCATTCAAAACAAGCGCTCCAACATAGCTGGGTATGAATTCCATCTAGTAGGACAACTTTGTACTAGAGCTAACTCTTTTTGTCCCGTTTGCTGTAGATACATTTGTAATGCATAGGATTGTTTAATGGATGGTCTAAATGTAGTTACAATTTTGCACATTGTTTCTAACAACTTACTACAAACATTTTCATCAAGATCTTTTTTAATCGCTAACTATATTGTATGCGCAGCATATTTACTTGAATACAAATTGAATTGATCTTCTAAATTTCTGACTGCGTTTATAATGTTAGATGCATTATCATGAGTTATACTAGTGATCTTATTAGTTATATTCCATTCATCCATAAGCTCCAGAATTTTTTCTTTTAAATGGTCAGCTGTACGTGGTTCTATCATTTCCTTGACGGACATTGTTACATTACACAATGTCCAATTTTTATTGATATAGTGACCTGTGTATGTAATACAAGTCTATAGATTGTGAACTCCAGCCATCCGTAGTTAGAGCAATACCGTTAATACTTTCAAGAAGATTTTTTGTATGGTTTACTTTGTCCTCATGTAATTTTTCTATGAGAGTACTTATTGTTTTTTGATTCGGTATTTGATAAATTGGCTCAAGTAGGTCCATACGATTTTTAAATCCTTTATTTTCAACGAAAGAAAAAGGCAATAAGAATCATTTTACAAATACTATGTGTTATTTGTTCTTCACGTTCTCCATTTAATGGTCTATCTTTAGTAAGTACTGTATTATTTGAGTTTTAAACGTTTTTGAAATGGAAGACTTAATGGAGACTTTATTGAAGTCAAAGCTATTTGATCAGTAGATATTGAAGTTGTTTGGTCAGTAGATGTTGAGGTTACTTGGTAAGTAGATGTCAAAGCTATTTGATCAGTTGAAGTAGCTATCTGTTCATTATCCCTTTGTTCCACTTCATCATGTAACCTATACAATTTAAATAAAAAAATATTAATAATTATTAACAAATTTAAATTCTAGTCTCAGCGTTAAATTTTCAAATGTTTTATTGAATTGAAAAAACAAATCACAGAAAATAAGTCTTAAGTAATAATAATAATCACTGTATAAAAAATGATTTTCTTAAAATACGTTATTTGTGAGGTATATTATAATTAAATATTTTGATTTCAATTATTTTGTAAGATAAAATGAATTATGTTTTAAAGAAAAAACCAACTTTTTAGTGAACAATTGAATGATATGGGAAATAATTTTATACGTATGTGAAATGTTAAATATGTGACATAATAAAGTTAACAAGAAAAAAATATTCCACACGAATTAAATTCAGGCGTATTGCTTTCCAAAAAAACCCACTATCAGTGAGCTAGCTGACACCATCATGTCATTTATGCTTTTGCAATCGTATAGTTAAGTAACACACCTTTTACATTAAGCAAAATGTATACAGGAATATAGAAATAATTATTTGTATACATTTCTTATAAATAAAAAATATTTATATTTATATTTTCATGTATATATTAAAATGGTATTTATCTTTTATTCAATAAAATATAATATAAGTTGTTATTGTTAAATTGAATCTACACATTGGAAAATGGTTTAATTTTTAATTAATTTTAAATATAATTATAATTACCTTTCGTCATTTGACTGTGATGTATTCTTTTCTTTTCGGTGCCATGTATTATAATGTGTCCACAACGGTGAAGTAGATCCATCATTCATCAACTCATAATCACAAATTAAGCATTTGACAAAATCATTGGATTCGTTACATTTAAAATACTGCCATACTTTGCTGGGATCCATGATTAAATGTAATTAATTATACACGTTTTGTATATACTTTATTATTACAAAATATTTCTCATGCGTACTAGTTGTTGCATTGTGTATGCACTGTGCATTCTGCAACATGCACTATGATTACTATACTCATTGATCTCTATGCTATTGCAATAATTAATGTTGGAAGCAAACTCAAGTTTATATTTGGTAATAAGCAGGTCTTTTTTTATCTGATGGTAGAAAATATAGAACACAATAAATATTAATTGACTATGAACATTGGATAATATGTACTAGCCTCAAGAACGGACTGGAAGGGTTTTGGCCGATTATTGTCAGTTAACAACCAGCCAAAATACCCATTTTCCGTAGCACTATAAATAATTAAATTATTCTCAATAGCCAATAGTATTAGTACCTTAGTATTTTTATTAGAATTACAGCTGTTAATTAGGAGCTTTAACAATATTCATTACAAAGAATTTGTATAACTATATAGGTACTTATTAAGCTGGATTTACACAAGCATCGGGTTCATAGTAGGTGCAAAACAGGACAATATCCGACAGTTAACCCTATTCTCTAGATTTTTCACAAATTAGTTATTACAATTTTCTGCGAGATAAATATAATATGATATCGGGGTGAAAGTTTTTATGGGTATAAAACTGTTAAGTGTCAAGTAAATTTGTATTGATTTACACTATTGGCAAAATAATTATGATTTAATCATATTTACAAGTTACAATGAATCTCGACTCCGTAACTTAGATACAATATGTAACCATATAACTGATTATTACTCAGCACTGAATAATATTATTATAAAATAAAATAATTAGAATAAACAGGCCAGTGTAATCAAATCAATTTCAAAATGTTTTTTCGAGATACCAATGGCCTGCTAACTGTCTTATAGAATAACAGCACAGTTTTCTTGTGTGATCCTGGCACTGAGTGTTCAAAATTGTTTGTATTGGCCACTATGTTCTTTCACTAGTTTCAAATTTATTATATAACATGTTATATACTTCTATATCTAGTCCGAGTATCAAATGGGTAAACTCATACGACCATTATCTTGCCGGCTTATTCAAATTGAATCAAGACATTTATACTTAAAATACTACTCATACAAATACATTTTTAGTTAACAAATAAATATCTCAGTATTTACATGCAGATGCTAACTATTATTAAATACAATTTTTTTTATTAGAATTTTCTCTATACTTAAAACACAAAATTCTAACTAGTTAGTAAGTTTAGTTAGTTTAAGATTTTACCAAAAAATTTGATTTTCTGATTTAAAATACAGAAATCGGCATTATGAAACATAAAAACCAGATTTAAAAATCCAAGTCTGTAATTTAGATTCTGTTGCCTGAAATCTGATTTCCAAAATCCAGATTTATGCCACTTCACTACTACATGTTTACATTAGGACTGTAGCCCTATGACAATTAGTGTTAGCCATTTAAGAACAATACATTTTATTAAAACGTAAATATTTACCCGGATGGAAGAACATTAACAGGCGATTGTTGAGGTGAAGAAGGACTGTTGTGGCTAAGAAATTGATTACTCGCTACAGACCTTGGTGGTCCTGCTGGATAACCTCCAACTACTGGTTGATTAGGGATCATCATCACATTTTCTGGGCCAACAGGCATCTAGTTGAAACACAATAAAATATAATAACATCAGTCATTAACAAGTGTTAATAACGTCATTAATATGTTATTCATTTAGATTGGCGTATAAAAAATAGTGGGTTGTAATTAAAATATAACAAATTGTGATTCATCATATCTTTTGAAGTTAATTAATCATCAAATCAAATCTTTCAAGCATATTCCAATAACACTAGAAAATATCAATTAAATATAGACTACAAGTACTTGCTCTTATCATTAAAAAAAATAAACACAGCACTTGGGAGCTTGGAATGTTGACCTATCATATTTTCTTAAATGTCCATAAACTCAAACTTGAACTCAGAATTTTATTTCAAAATTTCAAAAATTGAATCGTAACAAATATTTAAAAATATAATTATAGTAAAATACAAATTTAGTAGAAGTGGTAGTGGTAATAAAAAATAACAGTATATAGGTACATAGTACACTTGACAAAATACAATTTAAATTTGGACGGTTATTTATTATTGAAACTTAAAAATAAAATGTTTATAATAGCAATTAGGTAGGCATTAATTTATATATTTTTAGTATTTTAATAGATCATTATGAATGATGGTATATTTAAATTAAAATACATCATTACTTTTCTTGGTTGCATTCGACCCATAGTATTTGATGGCATATTACCCGGAACAACCCCAGGCATACCCTGTACTGGCATACCTTGTACAGGCATACCCTGAACAGGCATCCCCTGTACAGGCATTTGAACAGGCATACCCTGCATTGGTGGACCACCCATGACTGAAGACATAGGCATAGGAGGCCCTTGTTGACCCATCTGATTGCCCATAGGACCTGCATTAGGATTCTGCATCATTGGTCCTTGACCCATAGGTCCACCAGGTCTTAATGGTGGACCTTGGTTCATTGGACCTGGTCCCATTGTCATTTGACCAGGTAATTTATTTTGAGTTTGTGGTCGGTTGTTTAATGTTTGCAACACTGAAATTAATATAAAATGTATACAATAGTTATTTGATTATATTTAATTATAACTTCTTACATGTTGTTGCGTTTACAGGACCAGGGTTTTGGTTCATATTCATCATTTGGTTACCCCCTCCTATAAAATAAAGCATAATTGTAAATAATATGCTATTCAATTTGAAATAATAGTAACCTAACATTATAATATTTATAACTATTATAATACTTACTCATATCTCTTCCACCAACGTGTAATAACAAACGTGCAACAAAGCTTAAGTACTCATCCTATAACATAAAAAAAATACATATAATTTAAAAAGAACAAGTATATATCAAAACTTAAACACAGAATATAAAGCTATAGTTCATTATTAATTTAATTTTTGTTATCAAATGGAATGGTATTGAAAAAAATTTCTAGTGAAATAGATTACAAAACTTTTTTAAGAATGTATGGTAAAAACTAAGATTAATAATTATGATAATAATAATTAACCATAATAATAAGAAATAAAAGACACGAATAACGATTAAAAATTAATTTATCTAATATTTTTTTAGTCATAATGTGAGACCAAAAACACATTTTATACTAAAATATATTATGTAAATAAATAAAACTAAAAATATACAAGTATATTAATAATATCATAAAAATACCTAAGTATTTTGAAAAATTAAAAACTGTTTATTTGACATAGAATTTTTAGAAGAAAATAAGTATAGACAATGTTAAAATTACTAAATATCACCAAGTCTAAAATTGAATGAACCTAATGGGATATCATAAATGTAAATATTTACCAATAAAATGGTCAGAATATGTTGTTATAAATTACTAACTAAAATTAAGTAGGCGCCTAAATTAATACTAAATAAATTAGTTATAAATTACCAGACTACATCAATACCAATTGGCTTAATACATAAATGTTTTGAAATTTAAAACTAAATAATAAAATATACTACATTTTATTATCAGTTATTGATGAACACGTGGACGCACAAAATCATTAGAATATAATATGATTATATAAAAAGATAATAATTGAGATAATAATCTTCAATAGGACTATATCATTGATTTTATTATAAAATCAATGCCTGAACCTACTATCTAAAATATTATATTTCAACATTCATAAAACAACATCATATTAATTGAATACGGAAATATGTGCAAAATACTAAACTTAACTAATTTATAACATTGAATGCTGAATGGTAATTATAAATAAAATAATAAAATAATTATTAAATTAATCTATTAATGTTATTAATGTGCCAATGATTACAGGATACTCCAGACACATACATTTTGAGAAACAACATGGTTATTAAGCAAAATGTCTGGTGTTGTCAATTTACCATGAAAGAGTTTACAGTAATAATTTAGAGCACCGATTTAAATGTATTCTGTCTGGAAACAGTCACATACAAATATACTAGCATTATGATTTTTAAAGTTAGGTATATTCAAATAGGTATTTGGAATTGTGGTTTTTCAGAATACAAAATATTTTACCATTAATAATAAAAGGGCTTTGTGATATTGTAACAATTTTACTTTAAAGAAAAAAAAAATTATAACTATTCACTTATCCACTTTATTGGTACACAACATAGTACTATCAAGTTGAGCATTATAGACCGATAATACAAATACATATTTACACTGTTATAATATTAAAACATTAGAACAATATAAATTATTTTAAATAACAATTATAACTATAGTTTATTTTATTATGTTGTATTTTAATTAGTTGGGTTTACCAAAAATTAAGTCTTAAATATGAAATTAAAATAGCATTTTACAATTAATAGAAAGGAAAAATATTCTTTCGCAACAAGTAGATTTTTAAAATACAATATAACTTAAATTAAAACATAATATGTTATGGATATGTTATTGGTTCTTAAAGTGTATGCCAATGTTTTCCCATATATCTGACATACTAGAAAATGTGTAATAACACTTGGTAAACATAAAAAAATATAAAAAGTCGTTGATTACAATGATGGAAATATTCTACTATTCATATGAGATTTACAAACTTTTATAATCAATTCATTTAAATAAAAAGTCATATATAAGTTAAAATTAATTTGTATGTTGTTTTAATGTTTATATTGGAAATAATGATTAATATAATATAATTATATAGAGTAATTAAATAAGGACCGTATTTTAGTTATATTAAAATCTTGAAACCATGGAAGATAGATACAAAATTAGTTTTAATTTTTTTTTTTGTGTACAGAGCCATCAATACAAAATGCAAAGTGTTGAAAAACTATTTTGTTGACATAAAATATTATCAATAATATAAAAATGTTTAAGACACTGGTTTATCAATGTTCTTCAACTATTTAAATGTATCGTTCACAAAAATTCCTAACATGGATTATGATTAAATTACAAAATGCATTGGGTACTTACTTTACTTTTGGCTTTCAAGAACACATGATTCTCCATTTCTAAACTATTCTTTGACGTGGGCATTCCTGATTGAGCAATGGCTTCATCACTAAAAATATAAATAGATATTAATATAAATATATAAATATTTTGATCGATATTACGAATGTACAGTAATTCAGTTATGCACTTACATTTTATTGACCACATTGTGTCGAAAGCTTGAAGTACGCCAAATATCGTCGTCGCTCATGACTGATGTTGTAGTATTTTGAATGTACCTAGTATTGAATTACAGTTGGACACTGAACAACGAAAAATGTATGATTGTCGACAGATAAATCTACGTAAACCGTTTGTTTTCAAGCTGATTGATCGCTAACAAAAGAAATTAATTTTAATAGCAACAATAATATTGGTGGCATGCCAATTATTGCCAAACGAAATCTTTAAACTTTTTAAGTCACAACTCACTAGTCGGCAAAATACAGAAGCGCCCAATAACTTAACGATACACTGACGACTGACGACTGACGACTGTCCCTGGGTAAACAAATATTTAAGCTTATCAGATTTATCGTTTTTTTTTCATAAACATTTTTCCGGTCTAGAATGTTTTCAATCCATGGCCCGGGTGATAACGACAGTGCCATCTTCCAGTAACGTTTTGTACTGTTTGAAAAACCGCCCGTGATCACGATAAACTCGATCAAGACGATAGACAACGCTGCTGTGTACGTTTTCTGTTTTCCGCGCCAACCGATACCGGATGCCAGTTGTATACCACTACCCTATTTCAATGGTTACCTACTTGGCAACTAGGATTCCTGGAGCCCTGGAGGACTCAATTTTGTTCAATTAATATCGAGGATTATTTAAATGTGCAACTTCACCCCCCCCCCCCAAAAAAAAAAAAAAACTACTCAATTCACTTACCTACATGATAATAAAATGCAAGTACAATATGATTTACAATTAATGATTTAATATTTTAAAAAAGACGGCTCTGCGCCTACTGAACACATTATTGATTTACACATAATATTATTATATTAAATTATAAATTAAGAATTAATAACCAACCACAAAATATGGCATAAGCTATGAGAAATATCACGGATTTCAATAAACTGCTGGAGGATTTATGCAAGCTAGAGAACCTCCCCCAAATTGCTTCAATGACGATAATAATAGTGCAATGTTATTTTTGTCTCAGGTATACACGATGTAATATTATGGCATAGGAGGTGATAATTCGGAAAGATTAATGTGGACTTATAATATTTTATTGTTATATTTTATTGTGTATAACGATGCCGTATACTTACTCGTATTGCTGTAATGTCGACTGCAGTATTATCAACTAAAGAAAAATATGTATA